ATTTTGGGGTATGCGCCCCTCATGTCTGGGGTGGGCTGTGGGCGTGTGCTCTGTGGCGTTTAGTTTGTGGTGGGCAAGGTATTCGGGGTCCACTTGTTCTCGCAGGGGGGTGTGAGCCCCTTATCTATCAATTTCAATGTGAGCAAGTACTGCGGCGTACAGTCTCAGGGGTTTTTGGATGGGTGATTCCAGCAGGAGAAAACCCCAATCCCCCTTTCTGGGTGCTGTGTGCCTGCCCTGTATCCCTGTTATGTATTACGTGTGGGAGCCTTGCGAGGTGTGTGTTTTGGTTTTGGAGGTGTGTGTTTGTTTCCCAGCTCTCACCGGGCGTTTGGGGCTGCGTTACACTGGAGGGCTTCCGCCTGGCATCCATCCGGCCTTGAAATAAACGCCCTGACTGTCGAGGGGTAGCACACTGGCAGCGTATGTAGTCACGGGGTCAAACAACACGCACTGACACTAAACAAGGGAGGCCGCATTTATGCCTGCTAAGGGGCTGCTCTGACAAAGCTCTTTATTAAAAAAAAAAAAAAAGGCGGTGGTAGCTCGTATAGCTGGCGTTGCTAACTTCACTAGCTGGCGTCCTAGGCCTTAGGGTAGCATTGCTGCTTGGAGCGGGTGGGAGCCCTCCTCTCTTTCCGACAGGCTGTTTTATGCTTACGTCTGCACTGCCAGGGCTCGGCAGTCGGTGGATGTAACATTCACCTTGCGGTTTTAAATCGATGTCTGTGCTCCAGTTTGCATGTTCAAATGTGGGATATTTCGGGGTGCCAGATTTTCCGTTGCGGGGGAGCCGAGGAGGGTAAGTTTCAACAGGCTAACGGTGGCCAACGTTAGCCTGTCACCGTTTACTGGCTCGCTGGGGACGCTTGTAACGTTGGTTTGGCCTGCACTTTAATGAAAGTGGGGGGCTTTCTATTCTACCTGCTCGGTCTTTGTACCGCTTCTCCTTTCCTGCGGCTGGCACGGCACAACTCAAACGCGGGACATTATCTGCGGGTTACCGGTCACCTGCTGAGCTTCGAGAGCCCAAGATAAAAGGACCCACGGCGGCACGTGCTGTCATTTGTCCAAACATCACAGGTGTTCCAGGGATGCAGTGCACGCGACTGGGTTTGGTTGGGATGGATGAGCTGGTCACCTTTCAGCTCACGACGTCCTCCTGGTGTTCACCTGCCGACTCAACGAGGGAGCCTGCATTACTTTGAGGTGGATTGTGTTATTGTTGTTTGATTGGCATATTGATGTGTCTTCAGTGTATAAAATGGTCCACCACAGGACTCCCAGTTTAGTCTGGTGCAAAATCAGCACATTCTTACAGGTTAAAGAAGCTTGGTGTTTTTTGTTTCCATATTGTCGGTAAATGATTAATAAAAACCTTGTTTTAATTCATTAGTTTCAGCGCTGGGTTAAACATTGAGCTTTTCGTGTTAATCGCCGTCTAATTATGTTTCCTTCCACAGGGGTTGTAACGGAGGACAGGGGAAAACGGTGGAAACGAGTCCTCTTGACGTCCCTCCTTTGTTGTCCCCTCTCAGGCAACCAAAGGGCAAGCTCCTCACTGAAACTGGCCAGCCAGTTTGAAAGCTATCCATCAGGACTCATGGACTGTTCTGAGGGGACGCGGAACCCACCGTTTGGCCCATGGCACTAGTACCGTTTTCCCTCCCTGCCTCGCTATCCCTCAAGCTGCGCAGAAACCCCAGACACCTCCCCCCCCCTCCCCACCCCCCCCCCACCCCACCCCTGGTTCCCCAGCGACTCGCCCCCCTTCCGCGGATGGCACCCGGGCACCCGAGACCGCTGCAAACATCCACCTTCACAACTCCAGCCAGTCGGGTGCTTGTGGGAAGCCTGGCGCACGCAGGCGCGCGAGGGCCTGTTGCTGCCCGATGCTGGGAACCGGTCGGGTACACGAGGCGTTCTCTGGGCGGGGCCCCACGCCTGCGTCCTGGCGGCCGGCCAGCCCTTCTTCACAGACAAGCTGCTGCTGGCGTCACTCTGAAATCTCTGGTGCACGCTTGCGTGGCCTGGCGAAACCGGGTGAAGCAGCTGGTGCGATTTCCATGTACAGCGGCCTCGCTTGGTTGGTTGCTGCAGGGGTCGCAGGCCCTCTGCATTCCTCACCGCCGCCAGCATCCTGCGATCAAGGGACTGGTCATTGGACGAGGTGCTCACCAGATCATCTTCAGAGGAAGGCAGCAGCAGGGGCGGCGAGTGCAGCTGCAGCGGCGGCGGCGGCGGCGGCAGCAGGAGGAGGGATGCTCGGAGGAGTTCTCCCGAAACAAGAAGAGCGTGGCGGGGGGAAAGGGACAGAGAGAGGAGGCAGTGGAAGCTGCTCTGTTGGCGGTGGGGGTGGAGGTTACGCTAACTTCTCCAACTTCATGGCTGAGTGTGCGGCTAGTAACATGGGCGGGGGGTTAGGGGGTGCCAGCGTCAATGTCAGTGAGAGCGGCCCAGGCCCGATGGAGCAAGCGAACACCGTGAGTCTGATGGCGCTGGGCGACATGGGCCCCGGCTCCATGTGTGGCGGTGACGGACTGGGCTCTGGGGCCGGCGCAATCCTCATGAAGCAGAGCTCCAGCTGTACTCAGGACGTCAGGTACAAGCTCCGAGACCTGTTGGCACAAACGGCCAACGGAGCCAGCACCAGTAGCACAGGGGGCTGCAGCTCCGGCGTGGGCAGCGTGGACAGCATCGGCAGGGACAGCCTCCGCGGCAACACAACCGACCTCTCTGATGACCTCGTGGGGATGGACAGATACAGCGAGGAGGAGGACTTGGACGGGAGGGAGCGGGGAAGAGACGGAGACAGAGACAGGGGGGCGAGCCACAGCCGCAAGCAGAGGCAGCCGCTAAGACTCCAGGTAGAGGGATAAGGGGAAGGGTTGCCATGGTTACAGCTTTCAGGCATGCAGAGCTGCAACGGTTTGCTTTTCTTTCTTTTTCTGCCTTTTCCCTCTTCTCACACTGCATTGGCGTATAGCGCTGAGATGTTTCTGCACTTTGCACAATTGAAGAGACGCTCTCGCCTTAACTTCAGCAGTAATTTGCCTTGTTGATATTCTATGGACTTCTGCATATTTACTGTAGGTCATTAAACTTATCAGCACGTGCTTGAAGGGGCTGTAGCCGGGTCAATGCGCTGTTGTTCTCATAGATAATCTGCTGACACTGCTCTAAACATGATTTCTTTACAAATCAAAATTGAAGTGGACCTTTATTTTTTATCTTTTTTCCTGTCTAGGTGCTGGGAGGAGAGGGAGTGGTGGTGAAAGATGAAGGGGTTCAGGACACAGATGGGACGGTCTACGCCTTGGAGGACGGGAGACGAGATGGAGAGCAGGAGGGCTCCCAGGAATCCATGGCAGGCTTTGGACAGGTGGGTTTAACCCTGAGGTGAGCTGCAGCTGTGGGAGCCAATAAAAGAGAGCAACTTATAAAAGAAAACCATATCTGAGATGTAAAGCTCACTTTTATTGAACATTTTAATCATTCATCATCCACTGCTCGCAGGACATTCGGAGCATTAAACATCTTGCAGATTCTAAGTGTTGAGCATTGATTTCAAGGTAATAATCTGGTGGAACATTTAATAATTTGCTTCAGAAGGAAACTTTTTACCTTATTGTGTTAGATTTATTCTCAGCGTTTTTGTCACAAGTCTTGAAGTAAGAAGAGGGAAAAACATGGTGGAGCAGATTTATGCCGCAGCCTGCTGTACCCTGCAGACTACACACAGAACATCTGCCACATAGTCAAAAAGGATTCAGCTTTGCCTGTCAGTTTTCTCAAAAGTGCTGCAGAGTAAGATTGGAAATTTAAATAAATTTTGGAGGTGAAGGCGTTATGTTTTTCATGCAAAGCGAAGCACGTGATCATCAATTTAACTAACACCGCTTGAAATAATCTAATCGCCTGTCTTTAGTTCACACGACATGGTGTGAAGCAGTTTCTTACTTGCATATCTCAGCGCAGACTATTTGAAAACCAACTCATAGAGCATTGCACTGCTCCTCACTGCTAGAAGTGGAAAGCAGCAATATGGCATGATAATTATTTTACAGTTAGTTATCTGTACGCTCCATAGTTTGATCCCCTGGTTTTAAGATTATTTTATGCACTACATTTTAGTGTATATCTTTATTGTGTATTAAACTTAATTATCTAATAAAACTGATTACAAAATGAATTATGATTGTAGAAGTAACCAGACACTATTTGGAGTAGGGCTGGGAGATTAATCGAATTTAGTTTTCAACTACGATTTTGGCTTCGAACGATTATAGAAAATAGATCATGGAGATTATTGTTCCTTTCCTTTACAGCGGTGCGCCTTCGCCCCTTCCCGCCCAAACTCAGTCTCAGCCAGACTGTGGCATGTTTAATTCAGCTTGAGCCAAGATGACAGAAAGAGAGCCTTTGGTCGTATTCACACCAAATCAGGCGTTGTGGAGATTAGCGCAGGGCTGTGCTGGGGTGTGGGTGTGCAACCGCTGTGAAACAAACATTTATTCCTCCGATTCACCGGCTTTCTTGCTACCTCCGCTTCCTCTCTTGTCGGCCACTCGACCAACGCTGAAGATGTCAAACGGCGCGCAAACGCACACATACACAGTGAACTTATTTTGGGAGAGGGGACTGCGGCAGTCCCAAAACCTTGTACAAATAAATGAGAAGAGAGCCAAAGCATATGACAGCTTGCAGCGCTTGCATTGACTCTCTACAGTGATGACTGTGTGTGCGTAATGTGCCCGGAGCTGGTGGCCAAACACATTAAATACTGAATGAGTTAAAGACGTATCACGCAGAAAAAAAACAAGTCAAAGGACACATGCTGCTGTACAGTACATGTTGCACTTATTTTTTGTTTCTTTTTCAGTTTGAAGTTAAAGGGAATCCTGTTAAATCCACTGTTAAAAGTTCAATAGATGCATGATGTTTCCAAAGTCAATCAATAAATGTGACGTCAATATTGACCAGAATAATCATTATTATTATGATTTTTGCCATAATTAGATTATTTTATTCTGAAAATCATTTTAGCTTGATGGTATAAGTGTCTGTAGAGTTGGGTGATATGATGAAGTATACAGTGCCATGAGACAACAAGAGATTTGTCAACCTGTAGACATTTTGCCGTAGATAGTCACGTCTGTAAGTCCTCTGTTGGAACCCCATGAGATATCTCGTCTGGATAAGGAGAAAAACAAGTTGATGTAAGGTGTGGTTGCACACAGGAGGCACTGCAGTTAGGATGTGGTTCACACTGGGATTGGATCTCAGCTAGGTGTAAATGACATCTGTACAATTAGATTCTTTTTTAAGAAAGAAATTCACCCAACATGTTGAAAAGTCACCTAACGCCTCTTCTGCTATCTCAAGCTGTTCGTCAGAAAGCAATGATGGATAAGTAGAACCTACAGCAGCATCAGGAGATTCTCAAGGGACCACTACAACGTGCGAGACAAACGCCATGTGACTGATGGTGGTAGTCGGGCTAAAATTAGTGCTAGCTTCTCTATTGATTCTGATTGCCTCTCTGTCTGTCACATCACCCTCGCCTTATGGCCCCTCGAGGACATGCAAGCATTGTTTGCAGGTCTGCCTACCGTTCACAAAGCAGTACTGCTAACACGTAGATCGCAAATAGGCCCAGACTCATATTTTACAAGTGTTTGTGGCAGCGAATTGCAGATAAATTAGCGAATGATGCAGTGCTCGAGTGTTTGTTTTGAGCCGTGAAAAGGGAAGATGTAAATCGCAGCTTGCGTGTTGTAAATTGGGTGAGACAGTCCTCTCACCACAAAGCAGGAAGAATTGAGATTACGAGAATGTTCGTGACCAGGTCTAAATGCAAAGGACTGTAAACAGACATAATCATCCAGATAACATACCCAGCTACAGGTCACATGTTGGGGTTTTATGACACGTAATTTATCATATTATATACAATATGCAGAATTGCTTTAGTACATTATTGTATTTACAGCATTGTATGTTGGATAAATATGATAAAGTGCTCTGATTTTTGATGTATTTAATTAACCAAAAACAGACCTTTTCTTCTGGTTATTTTTGTAAATGGCTTTTCGAATGGATGTGCAGAAAATGTACTGTATAATGATGCATTTGGCTTTTGCAATATCAAATTACATATATGTGAGATTTGAATCCATGTTGCCTTCCTCTCAGTGGCTAGTTTAACTCCACATGCTTCTCTGACTAACAAATAAATGTTGGGATTTCCTGTTTTGAAAGTTACATATCTTGCGAGTTGATCTTTCCCCACGTCTGCCCTCATGCACGTGTAGGATTGGTGAAGCAGTTGGTTGTAAGTGCAAACAATGAGGGATGTGCTCTGTACAGTGGGGTACTAACACATGTTTAGTCAGGGATTTGCACACATTTCTTGAGGTGAACACATATTTTATGTTTCACCAAAGGAGCGCAGAGACAGGCAAGATCTTCACCTGATGGGGCAGGGTAGCGTCCACTGTCCCGCTCAAAGACATTTCAGTGGGGTCTCAATATTTACAACTGGAAGAACTAAAGAAGAGAAAAAGAAAGGTGTGTTTTCTAAAAAGATTTAATAAATGTGAGGGATTTAGTGGAACGTGATATCTTAGGAAAGCCTGGAGAGAATTTCATTACATCTGGCACAAAGTCCACTTGGAGTCAATAATTGATAATTGAATTGATTTGAATTTGGTGGTTAAAGGTCACTGTGGCCTCACGAAATATGTTATTCATACGCCAATTATGACAAAATTTCACACAAATATGTAATAGGATGAGGCGATGACACATTATATCCAAAAGGCAGAAGGTCAACTTCACTGTGACATCGTAATTCATCAAGGCCATAACGCGAGATTGTGACCACGTTTGGTTGGATACTGAACTGATGACACTAATGTTGGGTTCCCACCTTCAAACTGTGGCGACTGTGTAGATCTGTGCTGCTGGGTTTAAGATGAGTGTAATTTCATCCATATTTGAAGCATTGTCTGCTATCACTGCAACAACTTTGTGTTCTGTCAGAATCTGCTTTATCGGTCGAGCATGTGAACACGAACAAGGAATCTGACTTCTGTAGTCCACTGCGAGCTCGGTGGTTTCGCTTTAATAACTTTTTATTCAATTCCTTGGAAGTCTTTACTGCATATTTTATATGAGGATGGACAGACATGGATGTAAACTGCAACTCTACTGGTTGGTGGAGGTGGTAATGTTAGTTTTAACAATCCTTGAACTGAAGCTGGCGTTGTCAGGTCTTCAATCTGAGATATGTGTTTTGGAATCTTTAATTAAGGCTGAGTGTGTTTGTGTGAATGTTTCAGGATTTCTATGATGAGCAGGGGGTGTTTTCTGAGAGTTTCTGGCCCCAGAGTGAGCCTCCTCAGGCCATGGCTTTCAACCCCAGAGGAAGGGTCAACAAGCCTCTGACTCCGCCTCCAACCACACAGTCCATCAACAACCAGGTCAGTGTCTCGCATCAGACTCGTGGTGACATTAAATCTGTCTGTAAGCTTGGGTAGAGAGTTAAAAGACAAGAGACGAAGTTACAGTTAAAGAAGGAAAACAAACATATTCCTGACTCTAACAGACACCACAAACAGATCGTTTGCCAGTTGCTTGTCTAATTGTGCCAACTAAAAAAATATGTGCTCAAACATTGACAGTGTTCTTCAAGACGTATAGTTCTTTTTAATCTTTCTATGAAAATGTTATGAATCAGAAATATCTGAGGAAATAATTATCTAAACTTTATAAGTAATAGATAAGCAAAGACTAGCATTAAAAATATGCAAGTACAGTAACATGTTTTGATGCAATGCATTACGCCATAAAGCTCAGTACAGATTCATCAGTGAAGGCTGTTGATCGTCTTGAGTGATCTTTTGTTTAGTCTTAAAAAGATGTTTTCTGATAGAGATTGTAGATTTTGTACAATTATTTTATATTAATAACTTTCTGATGCTAGGCCTGTCACAATACGTTATTGACTTATCTATGATATATATACCATGTAATTGTCACCTATCACTATATCGACCACCACCAGAAGAATATTTTAATATTTTTTTCACATTACAGGTCCAATGTCTGAATATTCTTAAGAATTGGAAGTTCATTGTTCTTTAATAGGATGTACTTGCGTTATGCCCTAACCCTTTTTTTTATAGCTCATACAGTGCACATTGCACACTTCAAGTGCATTAAAGTGATATCTACTGCTCTGTCCTCGGAGCACAGGCAGCCCTGTCCACAGTGAAACTGACTCCAGCTGCTGCTGCTCTCTCTCTGTCTCTCTCACACACACACACACAGTTGTGCGGAGTGGAAGAAAGAAACGATGAGAGAGTTGATGACGGCTACACCATACATGAAAGCCTTATGAGTAAAACGGCTGTGTGACAGCTGGCGTAAAAAAGAAATGATCGGAACGGATCAATAACGCCCAACATAGTTGATCCGTTAAAACGTGTCGATACCGATCGTTGAGACCGGGACATCCCTAATTATTATGCTTATCATCATATCATTGGCATAAAATGACAGGATCAATAACTCTAATTTGTTGTTGTGTAATAGCTGTGACTGACGTTGGAGGGGGGTCTGGACATGTTTGCCCACTGATGATATATTGATGTATCTAACTGAATAAAACAGAATTGATAGTAAGGAAATATAAAGACATAACACAGGAAAAATGTGAACCACTCAGCACAGTGAAGCAGTTTTTCAGGAGGGAGGAGGGCGTGTTGTCTTTAGACGTGTCTACGGGGCAGATGGGTTAACCTTGAATGGATGAATAAAAAAAGTAATGTGACTGTTCTGCTCTCTGGACCAGTGGCATTCACAGCTTCTAAAAAGACAAGTATGTATCGTAATTGCATTCCAAAGCTGAATGCTCTCTAAAAGACAGTACATTGAGTTCATTCAGCCAAGACATCTACTGGATTTCTTGTAGTCTTGCAGTGATTGACAGAAAGCAGAATTTAACGCAATGCGGCACAAAAATTAAAGAAAAACACTCTGAACAATGAGAGATAACACGGAAAACTAAATGAAAGCTTCAGTTTTAGTTTGATTACCGGTGGTTTTTTTTTTTTCAAACCCACTCCTACACAGTTTGACTGACAGGTGTGTTAACTTTGAAAATGAAAATGCAAAGGAGGTTTGCATTTGCGTTTAGTAGAGTAGACACATGACCACTTGGAAAGGTAAATCTAAACAGAACGGCTGCCTTTGACTATTAAACATAATTAAACAATTCAATTGGTAAATGTAATTGTTTAATTCATTTTTGTCAAAGATGATTTGATTAGAATTATAGACTGGTATTTTTAAATTGAGTATTTAATTGAAATGATATGTTCGTTCTAGAAGAACATAAAGAAAATGCAAATGATAGAATTTTATTAATATACGTTTTTATAGACATAGATGCAGCATTGTGTTTCAGAAGAGATGAACAACACTTTTAGAAAGACAAATAAGAATTTGAAAGAGTTAAAACAAAAGGTGAACGCCCGGTTAGCGCTAACAGTGGACCTTGTTTTCGTCCTCAGCTTCTTTTCCAGTACCCAGTGAGCCAGTCGCAGCCAGCTCCGTTCTACGTGGGCGGGCCCATGGGTGGGATTGACAGCATGGCGGGGACGGAGCCCAGTCAGCAGGCCCCTCCCCCGGCGCCGATGACCCCGGCCCCGCCTCCCTCCACCTCCTCCTGCTCTGCGGGCCCCTCCCCTTCCTCCCAGGGATCTGAGACCTCGTTCGACTGCACGCACTGTGGCAAATCTTTACGTTCCAGGAAGAACTACAGCAAGCACATGTTCATCCACTCCGGTAAGCCACGCCTCCTTGAGCTCCGCCTTGTTATTTGTTTGTTATTTTGCTTATTTATTTTCGTCTATTATTTATTTACTTAGTGCTCTTTTATTTCAATTGAACTTTAAAAGGTCTCCTGACAGGGACGTTTTCCGTGACAAACCTCCAGAGAATTATCACCAACTGTGCAGCGCCATCTCTTCTATCTCGTTATTTTGGTTTTATGACACGACACTTCTTATCAATCCCTTTTATGGAGCTGTTTTTCAGCAAACAAGCTCACTGTACACGACCTGCCCAGCACTAAGCAGCAGACAGACTGGTGAAGAAAGCGGAACATCTAGCAGCTAAAAAGCCAAATATTTTTCTCAGGAGTTGGCAGAGACCAAACCAGTAATAGATTACGTCTGTGTGTCTGTCAGCTTGTTGTTTTTCTCCTCCAAAGTTGTCAAAGAAACTGCCAATGCAGCTTTAATTCTAACATCATCTGTCAACAGCTTTGAACCTGGAGGTCTGAATAGCTAGAGACATTTCAAGATCAACCATCCACTGTCACTCAATATGGAGGATCATCTCTACCCAAAGAATCAGCAAAACTTTAACTAAAACTTCTTAAAACATTTTAATTCCCCTTTTAATTGTTTAACACAGTACTTCTTTTATTTATTTATTAAAAAGCAGGTCAGTGCCTTGTTAGACCTGCTTACTAACTAACTGTTTTTCAAACCTGTCGTCTAAATGCTGTTTCAGAGGAGAAAAACTGACTACATGTATATGTTTTGCATAAAATAACCTGATAGCAAATTTTGTCAGCTTCAATAAAAAAATATTGGAATTCAAAAGCACATATCAGTTGGGTTCTACTCTGCTCTTTGGCTACAATGCAATTTAATAATTAAAGATTTTGTCTGGTTTTCATTTAGTTCTAATATTGATAATAACTTAATTATTTTACCCTTCACTTTGACAAAATAAAAATAGGAAATGATTCAGACATTTTGAGTGCTTTGTCTGTGCATACCTGTCCCTCCAGGTCAGAAACCTCATCAGTGCTCCATCTGCTGGCGCTCCTTCTCCCTGCGCGACTACCTCCTCAAACACATGGTGGTGCACACTGGCGTCAGGGCCTTCCAGTGCTCCATGTGCGGCAAGCGCTTCACCCAGAAAAGCTCGCTCAACGTGCACATGCGCACCCACCGTGCCGAGCGCACCTTCCAGTGCAACGTGTGCCACCGGGCCTTCACCCACCGCACCTTGCTGGAACGCCACGCCCTGCAGCACGCCCACCACGCCCCCCAGGCCCAGGGCCAAGGCCAGGGGCGTGGGCCCGACATGACCTCACCTACCAAGCACAGCCCTCCGGCTCTGGGAGGGCCCTCAGGTATGGCTGGTGCAGCTGGCATGGTCGGCAGCATGGCCAACATGCCCAGCCACGGAGCTTCCTCCACCTAGAGAGAGAAGGGGAGATATGGGGGAGAGGTTAGTGAGCCCATTCCTTGAACCGACACTTAATTGGTCCTAACAGCCTTGTTGATCTGTTGTTCTGGTGGGAACAGCGCTTATTGGTTCCCATTGATTTAGCTCAATGACACCGTCAATCAGGGTTCCTACACAGGGCTTTTAAAGTTTGAAAATTATGTAAATTTAAAGGTGTTTTGGAATTGCAAAAAATCCAGGAAAAGTTTGTAAAAATAGGTGTTCCCTACACCCATCTTAAGTAGTTGTAGTCCTGCTGTCATTTCCTGTGTTGTGACATTTGTTGTGACGACCAATCATAAGAGTGACATCACTACCAATCACACAGCTTGTTGAACAGCCATCCAAAAAACAGCAAAAAAGGTTCTTAGAGAGGAGGAAGTCTTGAATTTTAAAACAGAGAATGTGTAGGAACCCTGTTTCGAAGACGCCAGAGAGTCACCAAAGAGGTTAGGAATACAGAGCGGGTTTGGGAGTCGGCAAGGGCGACGGGGGGTCGTAGGATTTCTAGGTGGAGGTGAGGGATGGAGATTGGGGTTATATGGAGATGCAAGTTAGGGGAAATAAGGGGAAGGAAGGGTTTGGTGGGGAGGGGGGTTACGGGGTTTTATTCACCCTCAATTCAGTTAATTCAAGGTGGGAACTGGAGTTCACTCAGTTCTGCCCTGTGTATCTTTAAGTCTTGTTGTAGCAGATGTTCATCCCGAGTGGGCGAGTAAAATGTAAAAATAACCGATAAAGTTATGAAAACTATGAAACAAATGGGCCAAGTTGTAATGAAAAACATTTCTTTAAAATGCAGAGCTGTTTTAAAATGAAAGGTGTCGTATTAGCTTTCTTCAGAAGTTAGCTCATTGGCAGTCTCTAAAAATATGGACAGTCTGTAAGTGGAAGCTTGACTAACCTAACTGTGATGACAGTTTACCAGCTTTTTCTCTTCCTTCTGGTTATTTTTACCCATCATAACATACTTGAGGCACATGCAAATCCACCCTTACAAAACAATGGCCTCCTAGTTGGCTTGCTAGCAAGCGCTTGATGACCTGAAACGGCTATAAATTGAGCCGTTGGTTTGAAAAGGAGGAACTTCCTTTCTGAGCCTCTGTGCTGAAACCTGGATTTAAACATCCCTGCCTCATTATTTACTAGTGAACCCTTCAAAAAAGGAAAGAATAAGGTTTTCCAAACAACTTAACAGGACACCAGCTGTGGTCAAACAGCTCCATGTAAAGTTAAACTCTGAAAGGATCGATTAAATAGCACTAGAGAGCACTTACATTTCAGTTTTGTTTATTTGTGTATTTGTTTTTATATTGATGTGTCTCCGGCTGAATGAAAGTGAATCCATACATGGTCCATGTAATGTAATTGTTAGCTAGCCACAAGCTAATGACTCTGCAGTCGCATTCACTGTCTGCAGTCCAAAACAAATGCCATTCCCTTTGAGTTTAAACGCACCTTAAGAGACACATTGTTGGAAACATTTTCCCATTTTTGAAAAAAATGCACTTCCTGAATTAACTGAATTGATTGTGAACGGAGCCCGGCGCTATTCAGGAGCAAACCAGGGTGACAAAGAGGGGTGTTGATGAGTGATTGGATGAAGAAGGAAAAAGTAGTCCGAGCAGAGTGAGACTACAGCAGGGAGGGGAGGGAGGGAGGAGGAGGGGGGAGGAGTGGGGAGGAGGTGGCGTGACGCACAGCAGTGTGAATGAAATTCACCATCATCCATCAGACAGCTTTGTAACATTTTCCACAGGCGCCTCTGGTCTGCCCCAGGATCATATACCTCGAACCAGGACGAGCCACTGACGGCTCGGAGGGACACTATTTTCTCATTTGAAATGTTTGGGAAACATTTCAGCATGTTTTACACACACAGACACACACACACACACACACACACACACACACCTACAATTACCTCGGTGGTCCAAAGACAGGCATTATGCTTCACATCTTTTAAGCTACATCAAACGAAGAAACAGTGAAAACGAAAGCTAAGATAGATCCGTTTACTTTTTGAAAGCTTACTAAAGTACTTCTATGTAAAATTCCTGTACATCGCTATAACGCTCAGTTTGTTATTTGTTGCTCATGTGATTCTTTGATGCAGAAATAAGGCAGAACATAAAAAAAAAAAAACTTTTAAAGTAAAAGAGCCATTCAGAGGGAGTTAAACTTGGTTGAATAACTATGACAAATCAATGATTTTTATTGGGATTTTTATTGAGTGTTTGTGTTTGTCTTTTGGGGCTCTGGTTAATAATAAATGGGAAGTGTTTGTTGCTTAAAAAAAAAAACAATAAAAGCTTTTCTTGCAGCACTATAAAAAAACTTTTTAATGTTTTAGTAAAACTAAATTAATCATGAAAATGTACAATCACCCCTACAAGTTTTGACAAAGTCAAACTCGTGATAATTTTAATTATCACATTAATATTTATTACAATTTGATCTCTATGCACAGTTAAGTTTGCACATCATCTTATTTAGACCTAGATGTTGTTGTCCCCTGAACTATTTGGCTTAAGATTGTTTTTGTTTTCCTTTTTTTACACCTCAAAGGTGATCTTAAAAAGACCTTATGTGTCCCTGCTTTTTGCTCATTTTCCTTAATGTTTGTCAGTTGAAGCATTATATGATATTCAGTAGTTTACTTAAGCTTTGTAAGAGCCTTCTAATTGACATGATTTCATAAGTGGACCTCCCTAATAAGTGAGACATTTTTGAGCTTGAACTTTGTAAGTGATGAGATAATTTGACTAAAAGATCACTTTAATCAGGACTTCTTTTTTAATTCAAAAAAGTGAATCCAGCAAAGACGTAGATTAAATTCCTTTCTGTCTGGACTTCACTATAAATATTGACATTAAATGTCCCATTTAAATGTGGAAAAACTGCTTATTTCCAGGGAGCAGGCTTGGCAGCGTGTGTGCATTGGCCTCTGAACATTGCAAATTAGTTTGCAGACTCAGTAGTTTGTTTCGCCAGCGTTGTGGAATTTAAAAAAAGAGTTTAAGAGAAGCTGGACTGAAACTCCTCCAACTCACTGTTGGATATAAGCTATATATAAATTTTAACGCCAAACCTTTGGTGCTTTTTTGGAAATATTTACCTCATTTGCCAGTTGCCAACACCATGCTGTGGTCTGGGTTTGGTAAATAAGCAGTGTTGAGCTGTTTCAGAGGTTTGATCTATCCTCAGCAGTGGAAGTGGTTTTGGTGCATTTTGTCTGAGGCGGACCCTTGTACAGTACTGTAATATGTGTGCTTTGAAGCCATGTCAGCGCATTGTAACGTACTGTGTTATGCCTTTTTTTTTTGGTTTTCTGTTTTTTGTTGGGAGGGCGGTTGATAATTGTTTTTCTACATTAATATTTCTTTAACAGAGGTTAAATATGTCAGAAGAAGAAACAGTCATTTTATAAAAAAATCACTTGTCATCGTAAAACCACATCTTTTATGTATAAAAAGACTAAAGGCATGATTTTAACTTTTTCTGAGAACTTAGATGTTGTACTCAATGAATTAATTGAATTTTAAAAATGAGTGATTTCAAAGATTTCTTTCTCCAAATAAAAAGTCTTCTATGGCTCCAGGCCAGCTGCTCGTCAGTGGATTTAATTTTATTTCAGTCAGCATTACTGTCTGTCTGTCTCTCTCTGT